ACAAATGTTAAGTCTTAAAAGGTTAGAGACCTTATTTATTATTTCTTTGGTATCTCCCTCTACTATCTAGTATTTTATACACACTGGATAATTAATATTTAACCAGAGATCAGTAAACATTAGTATTTTCATTTTTCTTCTATAGACACTAATGAAGATGAGTATTTTCATTTTTCTTCTAAAGACACAAGAACCTAAGAATTCATATAAGTGTAAAGTTAGGGAACATAGTCTACAATACTTCCCTCACTCCTAACACCAGTTATGAGTTTCGGAGTTCCCAAGACCATGCTCAGTTTCAATAATTTGCTAGAAGGGCTCAAAGAACTCAGTGAAAGCTGTTACACTCACAGTTACAGTTTACTACAGGAAATCATACAGATTAACATTAGCATGGGGCAGAGTCTAGGAAAATTCCACATGTGGACTCTGCTCATGGAGTCATGGATAGTGTGAATGTCTCCTGGCTATCATGTGTGACAAGATGCGTGAAATTTTGCCAACAGGGCCTGAGCCTTAATGTCTAGAGTCTTTATTGGGTCTTGATCACAAAAATGGGGTTGGCTGCCCATGCGACTGCCCTCTGACTCCATTCCTCCAGTGGTCAACTGATACCATGTGACCCAAAGCTCCCACCCAAATCATATTGTTGGTGTGGCTTGAAGCCCCCATTCTAAATCACATTGTTAATCTTTGCACATTAATCAGGCAGGACATTCCAAGGGTTTAGAGATTACCTCTCAGGAGCCAAAGACAAAGGCCAGACTTCTCTTTAGGGAGGGTTCAATTCTTTCCTACATGCAAGGTCAATCGTGGTTCATGAATACAGTGTCTGACTTTGATCATGGCACTATAAGCCAGTTTATTGGGGGACACAGCTAATGCATTCTATGGAATGCTGAAGTTGAATGATACATAGTCCTTGACTTTCCCCTTACACATTAAAAATGAATTTAGAAAACAAAACAAATACAAGTTTTGTCCCTGTTTTTCTTTTCAGCCTGTAATTTATGTTGGAGTAAAATGTTCTAACATTTTAGAAAAAAGTGTTTTTTCCTTTTAGTAGTTTTTCCAACTTCTTTTATGTTTCAAGAGTTCAAACATTCTGTCATTTCATTAAGAGACATTTCTATATCTTATCCATTCTGTGTAGATCTATAGGTTCTATGGCTTTAAAACGCCATTATTTCCTATTCCATTTCTTATATCCCTCAGTTGCTATTGCTCAGATGGAAAAATATTTTTAAAAGATCTTTATTTTCTTTCATTCTCTAGACATTTCTCACATCTGTTTTCTTAAGATTTGAAACCAGAAGTGCACTTATTTTTTCTAGGGAGCGCCAGTTTTGAGAGGCCAGGGCAAATTAAGCTTCATACTATAAAGTAAGCTCCATAACTGTAGAGATTTTATTTTCTTTTACTTTCACATTTGTAACTCCAGCGTATACTACACTGCTTGACACATACAGACAGTACCTATTTGTTGTATTGAAAGATAATTTTCAAAAAGTTAAAAACTTAACTCCTGCAGAAATCTAAAGCAAGCATGTATCAAAGATTTGTTTAACTCATTAAAAAGAGAAACAGCAGGGTGGCAAAGTTGGTTCTAAAATAGGCACTGAAAGAATGCCAGCATAAGATTGCTAGATGAGCTTTTTAAAATGGTTACTACCAGTCAGGATAATACAATTGTAACCATTGAGCTTTTCTTTTCTCCTGCACAGAAATCATTTGCATCTTTACTTGGATAAAATTTATTTGCATTGCTGTCAGATTTGCAGAAATTAACATCTACTCTTACCAAGTTGTAAATTATTCTAATCAATAGTAAGAAGTAGGCCAAATGAAGCATTCTTAGTAATATTGGAGAATTTAATCTCATCTGTCAGATCAGGAATTAAAAAATATGTCCTGCTCAATTTTCAAATGCAGAAACAATTAACAGTTTATTGATAATTTGATTAATCTTATACCAAGCCAAGTGTTTTACTTCAAGTTACTTTTTCGTCTGTGTTTACTCAAATTTGGGCATATAGGAGGTACTCAATAAATATTTGTAGAATTAATAAATAAAAGTAGAGTTTAAGTATTCTGGTTTTGAAGGAGTCATGTTCAAATAATTTGCTGCTACAATAACACTTGCTCTTGCTTATTAAAGCAGTGAAAAGTGGGATCACTGGAGCTGTGGACTCAGAACAACATGGTTCAAATCTCAGTTCTGCAATTTCCTGCTTGCATGGCTTCCAGCAAACCACTTAACCCCCTAAGCCTTAACTTGCTATCAATAAAATGAGGGTAATATCTACCTTCTGGGATGTTGTAAGCATTGATACATACATAAAGGATTGTTTATAATGTGTGCAAAGTCCCTCATTTGCAGGAAAATGGTCTCTCTATGTGGTTTGGCTCCCTTTCAGCATAGTGGCCTCAGGGCAGTTGCGCTTCTTGCATGGTGACTGAGGACTCTAGGCACACATATTTCATCAGGCAAGGCAGAAGCTGTGTTGCATTTTACAGCAACCTTGGAAGGCATGTAGCATCTCTTCCATATGCTCTATTTGGTGAAGCTTTCAGAAGCCCACCAGATTTAAGGAGAGGGGACATAGATCCTACCACTTGGTAAGAAAGTGGCAGGGTCACATGGAAGAGAAGAATATGGGATAGGAGATATTGTTGTGACCGTCTTTGGAAAATAAAATTTGCTACAATGAGTGATTCTGCAGAGGCTTAATTCATATTACAATATGAAATGAAATATGTTCTGTGGTTGTCAAGGGTATTTCCTTGCAGTCGAGCTATTGTCATTGCCCTACATTCATCTAGTCACACACAATTTTCTTTGTGATGAGCCTTTCTTTTCTTTTCTATTTTTTCCCTAATGTTGCACTTGCCTAGCTTGAGTTCATTACCTCGCTGATAAAGCTGTTTTAATGTTTAATCTATTCCTAGTTTCCAAATCATTTTCTCAGGTGCCCATCAATTCCTTGTAAGTGGTTAATTTAAAAGGCCTTTGAAGCATGACTGCATATGGCTAAGGCAAATCTAAATGTCAACCTTGGAAGCATTCTATGACATTCAGATGGACTCCTTTCTCTACAGGGGCTTGTTTTTCTATCATGTGGTATATTTTGCCAAAAGAGGATATTGGGGCTCAGAAAAAGATACTTCAAAGCATGGTGCCTTGGCATACTGAGCACATTGATCTAAAGGAAATTAAAAGGCCTTAAACTTGAGTCCCCTCAGAACCAAGAACTTTCTAACCTTTCTTGTTCCTCCTCACAAGTACAAGATGGAACTCTCTTCCGTCCCCTCCCTGAAATTTTATTAACCAGAGAATATTATTCTCATATCACAGGAAGGAAGACTGAGGAATGTCCCCATGCCCAGACAGACTTTCCATCTGTTCTTCTGAGGGCACTCTGAGAGATTACCTGAGAGACTTTATCTGCATAATAAGATAACCTTTGGCCAGATGTGGTGGCTCGTGCCTATAATCCCAGCACTTTGGGGGGCCGAGGCTGGTGGATCATCTGAGGTCAGGAGTTCAAGACTAGCCTGGCCAACATGGTGAAACTCTCTCTACTAAAAATGCAAAAATTAGGTGGGTGTGATGGCACACCCCTGTAATCTCAGCTACCTGGGAGGCTGAGGTGGGAGAATTACTTGAACCCAGGAGGCGGAGGCTGCAGTGAGCTGAGATCAGGCCACTGCACTCCAGCCTGTGTGACAGAGTGAGAACCTGTCCAAAAAAAAGAGAGAACTTTTGTTCACGGTGAAGATCCACCCCTTACCTTCTTGAAACCTCCTCCAGAGCTCAGAGAAACTTTGTCCCTGGTCATTGTCTGTTCTTTGGGCTCGTTTAATTCCTCCGAAAATTTTTTCTATCCCTCAAAATTGCCTACATCCCCCATCCGTCTCCCCTATAAAGAGGATGCTATTTAAGCTTCAGCCATCTGGCCCTCCTTTGAGTCTCGTATTTTATATGGCTTCTGTGCTTCTGCACATTAGTACATTTGTATGCTTGTTCCCCTGTTAATCTGTCTATTGTCAGTTTATTTCAGCAAACCTTCAGAGGGTAGAAGGAAACGTTTCTGTCCACCCCTACAAGGGCCAGAAATAGTGCCTTTCTCACTCAACATTTGTAGTGTTGAAAGAGCTAGCACTCTAGCATCAGAGATTTCCTTTCATGCCAGTTGCCTTATCTAATTGTGTGAAACTGAGTAGGTCTCTTAAAAAATTAGGAGTTAGTTTCCTCGTCTATAGACTGAGTATAAAATTCTTTACTTTAGATTTTTAATAAACAAATACTCAAAGAAGCTTCTGCTGTAGGGCCTGGTTTACAGTATAAACTCAGTATTAGCTAATAAGAAGAAAAACTACATTGACATTTTCTTTTCCCATAAATTCCCCCTCAACATAAGTCTTGGTCAACTCTCGCACTGGTATGCTGATTTCACTGGAGAGGAGAGAAAGGCAGTGTCCACACAAGAATGATTGTTGAAGAAGGTGGCTTCTTCTTCTTCCTTTAGGTGGTAGCACCACAAAGTTCACCTGAGAACAGTGATGAGCCACACTTATTAATGAGCTAATTCCAGGAGCCTGGAGTTGGCAGAGGGCATCTTCTTTGAGGGGTGTTCTGTCCATACCTGGGTCTCTATTGCTGTTGATTGGGTTGTTAAAAGAACAGTTTTCTTTTTAAGTATTCAGATGAGATTTTCCTTTACCTGACCTCCATAGCTCATTGGACACATAATTGTAAAAATATGTACATGTTTAGTGAAATGTATTAAAACTTCGACAATGTATGCTTTGTAAGAAATAGAATACAAAATGTAGGATGGGATTCTCCTCTTCTACTCTCTCTTGGGATTTCTCCACTTAAAATCTCTCTTTAATCTCCAACTATTAAAATCATTATAAAGATGAAAATGTTTATTACATTATTTTAAACTGCAATAAAGCTTTAATTGACCTGGATTTATTATCTTTCTATGTGACAGGTGGTGAAATTTACCAAATCCTTTGAATTGCTGTCCCCGAAGTGCAGTGCTGATGCTGAGAACAGGTAGGGCTTATGGGGTTCATGTGTCTTTTGATGTTCTTTGGTCCTTGGTGTTAGCAGCATTGCATAATTCTTAGAAGATAGTAGTAGTTCTTTATATTAGCAAGTACAACCAAATAACATGACTCTTCTGTGTTTCAGGCCTTAAATTAAAACTATAGCTTAACAATAAATACATATACATCTAGCTTGCAATCAGTTTTTAGGGCCAAATTTTAGTACTTGTAATAGGATTAAAATGTTGCCTTCAGCTTTTAGTCCTCTTTTCCCTGAACCTTGTAAAATGTTGTTGTTGTTGTTTTGTTTTGTTTTTTAAGATGGAGTCTCACTCTGTTGCCCAGGCTAGAGTGCGGCAGCGTAATTTTGGCTTACTGCAGCCTCTGCCTCCGGGGTTCAAGCAATTCTCCTGCCTCAGCCTCCTGAGTGGCTGGGATTACCGGGGTGTGCCACCACACCTGGCTAATTTTTGTACTTTTAGTAGAGACAGGGTTTCACCATGTTGGCCAGGCTGGTCTCGAACTCCTGACCTCAAGTGATCTTGACCTTCCAAAGTGCTGGCATTATAGGTGTGAGCCACTGTGCCTGGCCACCTTGTAATGTTTTTAAATAAATCTTAAGATATTCTGCTGACTCCTGAACTTTGAATCCAAGTTATTTAGGTAAGTTAACATGGAATAGTACTAGAGCAAACTTGTTTTCGTTAAGCCAACAGTTTCAGTTTGTTTCTTTTCACATCACATATTTGACTAAATCTTCTAATAAATCAAGTAAAATTTTAGATATATCTTAACTGTACAGACAGCCGAATTTTCTGCTTTATTTTGGCTCTTTGTTTCTCTTCCTCCCTCTTGTTTGTCCATACTTGGCCAATAACATCCCCTTGGAAAAAAGACTGAGAGTTTCCAGTGATTCACTTCTTGTTCTCATTGGCATCTTTGAGGCTATAACAGGGTGGAAATGATGATTGCAAGCAATCAGTGAATTTCTCTTAGCTTTTTGCTGCCTTGAATAATAGCTGTGTTGCTACAAAAATTCTCTGTGGTCGCCTCTAGAGGAAGGGTTAAAAAATAATGAAATTAACCAAAATGCAGACATGGAGAAAGAATCATAAAGCACTCAGGGCAGTATGATGATGATGACAATGATGATGATATTGATACTAAAATATGAGCAACCTGAATTCTTTGACTGCTATGTGTTCCATGTAGCATGCTAAATGATTTATAAGCATTTAATCCACCAAACAATCTTTTGAAGTAGGCATTCTCCCCATGTTATAAAAGAGAAAACCAAGGTTCATCAAGTTTAAGTAACTTGTTTGAAGCCATGCAGCCAGTAAGTGGTAGCCACCAAGGACAAGATCACCTAGATAAGACTCTCCCAACTCTGAACTTTGATTCCATAGCTACACGTCATTTAAAATCTGGTTGTTGATCTCATCTAGTGAATACCTGTCAGATTAATGTTTCCTAAATCTAATGGGTCAGTCAGAATTAGGCTTAGAAAGTTTAGTAGAAACTAAAATCTCAGGACACACACTGAGAGATTCTGATTCAGTACTTTGGAAGTGAAGTCCTAAAGGTCTATAAGTTCTAAAGGCCCTCTGGGTAATACCTATTTCAAGATGTAATACTCAAGAGTAATTTGATTTTTGTATCTATTATTGCTTTAAATTCAGGAAATAGAAACTAGTAAATAAAAATAAAAAGTAAATTACTTTTTATCAAGGGCACAAAGTTTAAAAAAGGCCTTTGCCACATACTATATAACTCCATTTACAGGACATTCTTAAAACTTCAAAATGATAGGAAGAGAAGGCAAATCAGTAATTGCCAAGGGCAGGAGATGAAGAGAGGGGTTGACTTCAAAGGGGTAGAGGGTTGAGATGGAAACACTCTGTGTCTTGCTTGCAGTGGTGATTATACAACTGTATCTGTCAAAACTTGCAGAAATCTACCCCCAAAAGGGTGAATTTTACTGTCTGTAAATAATACTTTAAAATGGAAATTTAACTGGGAAAAAGAGTTCTTTGGTAAGATGTTTTATATTCATAAAAATGTATTTATGTTCACATCTATATTTAATGCCAGCTAATCTATATCCAACAAAGATATTTAAGCATAGAAAGTTACTAGTGGTATACTCAGCAATTTTCCTAAATAGAATGTTGTACAACAACGTGAAATACAATAGAAAAACAGCTATTCATGCTGATATCTTTAGCTATCTCTCATATATGAGGGGGAAAGTTTTATGGAGTTATTGAAACACAAACTTTGAAGTCCTAATGCTTCAATATTGTTATTTTTTTATACTGCTGAACATGTTCTCATGGTCACTTCAGAGTTAAATACTTCTGTTTTTTTTATTATTTTTAATGCTGAGAGAACTTCCATGTCAAAATGAAATGACCCAAGATCTAGACTGCCCTTGGCAAACTTCCTGATAATAAAAGAAAGAAAGAAAGGTCAGGTTTTCTTTAAAGAGAAATTTGAGAAGTGCCTTTGAACTTTGACATTATGAGATAGTCCTATTCATCATTCTATTTATGGCTTTTAAATTAATGTGGAATGTTCATTTATCTCAGAAGACCTTTCCATCATTGTCCAGTAATTTTCCTTGTGTAGATCTGAGTTCCTTCAGTCATTTATTGGAAGTTAAAGAATCCAAGACAAGTGACTCCAGAATTTACTTCACCAGTGACATGGAAAGGACATTGAAATGGGCTCTGAGTCTACAAATCACAGCCTGATCTCACAGCCTGATCTTTCCTTTAACCTTTCATCATTTAGCATCTTCACTATAGATGATGTCTATTAGATACTTCAGTCCTCTGAACATCAGTGAGAGTTATAATAGTGTAGTTTTTAGAAGACAATTTCTATGGCTCCTTGTAACAATGTTTCAGGGTACTATTTCAATTCTGATGAACTCTGGTTTGAGGCTTGCTGATTTGTATAGATAGTCCTTGAAGCCATTTTTTAATAAAAACCAGTTGTGCTGACTCATCACTTCTGCTTAGTATCTTTCACAGCTTTGTCATAACTAGTCTCCTGTTGGTCTCCATGCGATAAGTACCAACCAATTCAAGAGCTGGAAATGATTTGATCTATCTCCCTCCGTGAGGTGTGCTCTTCTTCCAGGGTATCACTGGCAACATCTCTAGTGACAAGATTCTCACTATGTCATGATAGACTTCTTGCATTTATAAGGGGTTCTAGTAGTTAGAAAGGCATTTTATGTTGAATTATGTTCCTATAACTTCTATCTGTTTATTCTAAATTTGTTCCTTGGAGGCAGTTATTCCTTCCTTTAACAGTCATATATTGAGTACCTACTCTGTGCTGAATCTTCTGCTAGGTGATAGGGCTATAGAAATTTTTTTTAATTAGCAGTCTCTGTCCTCAAGGATCTCAAGGGCAATGAACAGTGGTGGGAGTGGGTTAAGAATATAATACAAAAATAACCAGATTTTACCAGGCCTCCAGACTATGGCTTTAAATAAACAGAGTCACATTAATAGTTATAATTTATATATTTGGCTGCTTAAACATTTCTTCTGTGTAGTGTAGCATAAGGACCCTAGTCCCTTGTAAAAGCCATCCTTGAAGTATTCCTGGAGTTTCTAAGATTTCTTTTTTTAAAGACAGGGTCTCACTCTGTTGCCCAGGCAAGAGTGCAGTGGTGCAATCATAGTTCACTGTAATCCTTGAACTCCTGGTCTTAAGCGATCCTCCCATCTCAACCTCCCAATTAGCTAGGACTACAAGTGCATGCCACCACACCTGGCTAATTTTTAAATTATTTTGTAGAGACAGGGGTCTCACTGTGTTGCCCAAGCTGGTCTCAAATTCCTGACCTCAAGGGATCCTCCTGCTTTGGCCTCCCAAAAGTGCTGGTGTGAGCTACCATGCCCAGCCTAAGATTTAAAAAACAAAACAAAACACAAAAAACAAACCAAAAAAAACCTAATTTATTACTGACTTATCATTTCTTCCAAGTGACCACCCATAAATCCTCTCCCTCTGGCCATGACACAGCAGTGTCCTATGATGTGGGCTTCCTTGCCCACTCCAGAATTCCCATGGGCATAACTGCACTCCTCACCAGTGTGGTGCCACAGCTCCCTGGGCACCCCAGTGTCTTAGATGCACCGGTGACCTTCACGAACCTGGGGAAGGCTGGGTAATTTGCGCAGAAATGGGAAGAAGGCTCACTTTCTCCCCCAGGTGTCATAGTCTGTTGCCTAGCCGCTAAAAAGCCCCGAGTGTACCCCATTTTTACAGACCTTTTAGTTCCTAAAGCTTTTGTTAGATGTTAACCCACAGACATCCAAGTGCATGTAGGGAGAGGGATGCACAAAAATAAATAAATAAATAAAGTGGAGGACAGAGTGTTGAGTAGCCTGAATGTTAAACCTTTTATGAAGACATTTTTCCTTTTTTAAACACTGTATTTTCTCTGAGTTCCCTGGTCATGAGTATTGATGGTTCCTGTCCTTTAGTGAACCAGTACACTCAAGGCAGGATGAGATAATCTGGTATATTTTAGAACAATAAGGAATTAGAACTAAAAGAGATTCTATTTCCAGAATGAATACTTTTTCACTGTCTGGGAAGATACAGATATTTGCTTCATGAGCATATGGGAAGAAAAGGATCCAGCTCTTAGCTCAGTTAATAACAACAGAAACAACATGACACCATTTTTGAGTTTTACTATGTGCTAAGTACTGTACATGAATTATCCCGCTTTTTGCTATATTACAGATAAAAGTTAAGAAATACATCCAAGGTAACACAGTAAGTTACAGAGGCAATATTTGAAACCCAGTTAGCCTGGCCCTGGCACTAATCCTCTCAGTCATTACATTTATTAATTGCAAGTAGATTACTTAGGAAAATTCAGTAGAACTGCTGAAAGAGCACAATGCCTGGCACATAGTAGTTGCTCAATGATTTGAAGGTACTTTTTCTAACACTGAACATGTTGAAAGTCAGGAT